GAGAGATAATATAAGAGTTATTTGACAGCTACAAGTTCTTACAGGACAAAGCATCAGGATATTGAATAGACTCTGAGCTTTTTTGAAGAAAGTGAAACTAAGGAGGGGCTTCGAAGGAGAGGTCAGGAGTGAAACTAGCATTTTTGAAGAAAGTAAAATTAAGGAGGCCCCCTCCAGCTACTACAAGTTATATTGCGTTGTCAGAAAGAGCATAAGCTAGTTAACCATCCTTGGTTGCTCCTTCTGAACCCAAGATATAGCATGAACCTACTGCTCACGAGGAAGTAATTTGTCGCCAAAAGGGGAAGAACCTAACGATATGCTCGAGTAGCTCTCCTCCCCCTTCTAGGAAGAAATAAAAGGGTTCCACCTGTGTGGGGTTCCCCATGCAGATGGAGGGAGGTATACGCCAGCAAGGACAAGCAATTTACCCTCCTCAATATGAAGTGAGACTGGTACTCAGACATTTTAGTTTCAGATCTATATGCCTCAATAATTGGGGATATTTTTTAGTGCCACAACATTGAAGAATACCTCCATGAGCACTGTCTCTTGAGTCTTTGCCAAACTATAAACCTATATCAACTGATGGCATTCAAGGCTTTGCACTTTTAATATGCACTCCTCTTAGCATCAAAGCGAAGGTCCTATAAAGCTAAGAAGAAGGCAAAGCTAGTAGAGGAATGAGCAAAGGCTACTAAAAAATTTGGTCAGTGCCACCACGAGGCAGGCAAGTACTACTTAGAGGCAACTTCAGGAAACTAAACGGAGTGGCATAGCACATCAAATTTTTTGTTAGTCGCCTAAGAAAAGAATAAAAATTTGAAGGGCGAGATGACAACAATGAAGACAGAGGATGATTTTTTCTGTTGATTAGGCTAAGCACCTCCAACTAGAGACCAAGTTGGCAATCAAGTGATTTGTTAAATCAAACTCATTGATTTTAAGTGGTCAGATTATGAAGAATTTTCCAAGCTTCTCTCTGGCTCATTGACGTAAGAGGAGGAGAAGAAAGACGAGTAAGAGGATGATAATAATGTTGATGATGGGGGATCCTTTAACGCTTGACTCGACATTGATTCATCTACACTCATAATTTTTTTTTTGTAAATCATATAAAACTTTAAAGGAATTTTTTTATAAATTTGTATTCATGAAATGAAATGAAGTTTTCGGTCAAATTTTACATTTGTCTTATTTTACCTTCATTGAATTTTTACTTGTGATGAATATTTGTGGTGTTTGATAGCTCAGTTCTTAGAAAAGATCTTAAGTTGGTTATAACATGTTAACGTCCGGTTCAAGTCTTATACTTCATATTTCTTGGTTGTTGAGTCATATAGTTGCCTTAGACAGATCATACCTTTCACCAGGCATATTAAGCGGATCTTTTTGTAGCTTTCTCGGGCGGTAACCATTGAAACTTGTTGCTGAGTTGATTGTCACCAATAACTGTAAATCTTATCGCTAATAGGTAGAAAACGACCTCTAGGGCATGAATCAGACCGAGTTAGGGGATATGAAGGATGTTTGGGCTTTGGGGGTCAATTTTTATGAAGAGTTAGGGGATATGAAAGGATGTTTGGGCTTTGGGGGTCAATTTTTATGAAATAATGTTGATTGAATGTTAGTCATCATCATCAATAATTTTTCGATAGATTTTACTGATCTGACGTCTTGCGTCATAGTCAGCTTTTAGTTGATGTACTTATATCAACTGATGACTTAGAAATAGCCTTACTATTGTATTTAGTATACCAATTTTTTTTCTATAGAGTAGCTTCCACATTCTCCGCAGTGTACCTCTCAAATAAATTTTTTATTTGTCTCATTTTTCTTTATGATCATAGGTACATTGACATGACTGACCTCCGAAAAAGCTTCCCTTCAATCAAGAGATATTGTGTGTCTTTAGTATTGAACTTCCTTAGGTTAGTAATATCCTGTGATATATAATCAATTTCAAGGTATTGGATGTAAGGTTCCATCAAATTTTTTAGTACTGCAGCCTCTAATTTTATTAACTTGGGTTCTTCAATCGTCAACTGAATAAGTATTTGGGGCATCTCTTCCTCCAAATAGATACACTTAGCTAGAAGGTTGGCAAATGTGTTTTTCTTTCAGACAATGTGCTTGATTTTAAAGCTTTTAAACAACTCGATCTTTGTCTTAGCTTTATTCAGGTATGTAGCCATCATGCTCTTACTTCAAATTCTTCATTTACTTGATTCACCATCAACTATGAGTTGAATTTTACTTGGATATATTGGGCGCCTATCTCATAGGAAAGCCACTGCTCAGCCATTAAAGCCTCATATTTGGCTTGATTGCTATTGGCCTCAAACCTAGCTTCAATTGAATGGTAGAAGTGCTCTCCGATTGAGAGTGGGACTGTTCAACTTGATGCACCATCAATGTTTAACATTCATATTTGACTTTCGGTAGGTGCTCCATTTGGTTCACTTGGCATAAACAAACCTATCATGCAATTAACTATCGCATGTGCTTTGATCAGGGTCTATGACACAAAAGAAATGCTAAATTTGTTGAGCTCTGTCGCCCACTTGAGGAGCCGACTGAAAGGCCTCAACCGAGTAAGGATAGATTTGAGTGGATGATCGGTCAAAATTTAGCTTCTCCATGATAAAGTACCTAAGTTGGGCGCCTCAAAGGACTCAGCTGATATAGTATATCAAAAATTATTTTTGAGCTGCTCTTTGAATAAAACTGAACTGATGGCTTTAGGTCCGACCCTCAAGTATAAAGAAAGCTCTTCATTGGGTTTGGGGCTCTAGAGAAGCGATGGACATGTCAATGACTCCTTTTAGTTTTTTTATTTGTTCATATTCATCTAACTAGGTAAAGTTTTTTACTTTCCTTAGGGTATTCATGAATGTTGTACATTGTCATCAGAATTGGAAATGAACCAGCTTAAACCTATGATCCAACCGGTCAGTTTATACATATCTTTGGTGTTTCAAGAGGATGGCGTGTCGAGCAATGACTGTACTTTCTATGGTTGACCTTTATTCCCTATGTAGTTAAGAGGTAGCCTAGAAATTTGTCTGTTGAAGCTCCAAAAGTACATTGAACGATCGAGCCAATCTTGCCAACCAGTTAAATCAAAGGTAAACATATAACTTCACATGTCGCACCCAATAGAGGGGTTATTTGAGAAAGGGCTAATCGATAAAACAGATAATTATTCATTACTATGCACATCTCTCTCTGTCTCTCTCTCTCTCTCTTCTGTTTTACACTATTTCTTGTGAGTGATTCACAGACATATTTGAACTTGACATCTTTCATTCATAAATTTTTAATACTAAAGAGTTATAAATGTAAATATTAAATTTTAGGTGTTAAGAGCAAACATAAAATAATAGTGCCATATATGCAAAATTTTCAAATAAAATTTTAAACACAAAATTTTAGTATTGCGAATTTTTCTCTTTGATTGGTGATCAAATATTTATGACATTCGGCAATCAAATTAATAATCATCTGCATTAGTTGAAAGCTTAACGTTCAAAAAAATTAACAGGTAGTATTTAGTGCGTGGAGCTCATTTAAACAGAAGTGCGTCAGAAATACCATTATTTACAAAACTAACACCCGATGCATTCATGCATACCACAATCAAACCATTAGGATTAGATAAAAAGAAAAAAAAACATGGGTTGTGGCTTCATTCTTAATTTTAACATTTCAGTAAATTTTTTTATAAATAATTGAAAGGTGCAACTTTTGTAAATAGCAATGTTTGTAATGCTATGTATGTGATTGCCTCCCTCTCGAAAAAAATATCACATTCAAAGCAAAGCTGCGTCAATTGCAGCAATCTACTTGAAAGAGAGGAGAAGAAAAAAATAACCCCCGATAAATTACAACCGTTGTCCGAACATAACTTCCATCCAAACTTCACTTCAGACGTAATATTCTCTCTCTCTCTCTCTCTCTCTCTCTCTTCCTCTCTCTATATATATATATATATAACTTACATCCAAACTTCACTCCAGACGGGAAAGAAAAATAGGAATAAGATATAATCGCAAGATAAAAATATATATTATAATTTTTATAATTCCCCCAATCAAATTCTGAATTGGTTTTTTTATAACATGCATTGTTTTATTTCACAATCAAATTATATATATATATATATATATAATGCTGTGCTCTTTGAAAAATGGACGTCGTTATTGTAAAAATAAATTGATTTTTGACAATAGAGAAAAATTTAACGACCATACAGAAAATTATTTCAGGAGCTCAACGCCGCTTATAAAGACATGGCTTCAATTCTGGCCAATCAATTGCTTTCTGGTTCGAGGCACAGCCCTCCTGCAGTATGATGGAAGAAAATATCACAAAGATAATCATCAGACCAAAAATATCAAAATAATAAAAAAATAAGAATCAGCTCCATCCTTACCTTTTTCTTGAAGTAAAAGAGAACAAACATTTTGTTAGTGAAATCCTGCGTGAATCAGATGAAAGTAAAGAATAAGTTTGATTTCAGGGGTTTAAACTATTCAAACAAAAATAGTAAGATTTAGATACATACCACGCAATTCTTACATATTTACATATCTAACAACCAAACTTTACTTTTTGCATTTATACCATTTTTTATCTCAGCTTGAACGATGTATTTCACTTTTTGAAAGTTGGCATTTGTAATGTAATATGAAGGTTTTTGTTGTTGTAAAAGTAAAAAAACTCAAAGTATACGTGCGAGATATGTAAATACATAAGAATTATATGATATGTTCGTAAATGTCTCAAAAAAACATAAAAAAAAAAAAAGTGAAACAGATAGACTTCAGAGAGCATATAATGAAAACCTTAGAGCTCAATGAAAAGCCGAGCTGCTTTACAGCTTCGGAAAATTTATCTGGGTCAGCACCTCCATTGCTTGGATCAAACCTGCTTCTTACTTCTGCTATCAAAAGCCAGCCACTGCACAAACATAATAACGATAATAATAAACATAACGGGAATCTTATAATAAGCATTTTCCTGCATTGGAATTATTTGATTGTTTAGATATTTGAAAAGATAAGTTACCATGGCTTGAGGACCCTATTTGCTTCCTTCAAGTAACTGTGGTAGTTGATTCCCATCAGAGAAAGACAGAAGACAGCAACATCAACAGATTTTGATTCCAGTGGAGTCTGTTTATAACAAGGTATAAGCGGTGACTTTTAACGTTATTGCAACCAATTTTTCACTTAGAAGACATGGTGATTAATAATCAGGAATCGGGGTGTAAACGGGCAGTAAACAAGCGACCCCAGGCTCGGCACGTGTTAGGCTC